TGAGGGCCGCGGATGTCGCGATAAATTTCTGGCTAAATAATTTTGTATTCAAGCACGGTAGACTTTGCAACCCAAACAAACGATGCGCACCGCGACACAGACAGCATCGGCCGCAGTGATACTCTTTTACTGATGAAGGCTAACGACCTTCACGAGACTTTCCGATCACCCTCCGCCATCACCTAACGTATATCGGGACTGGGCAGTTCATCGGTTAACTTTCAGATTATTCAAGTAATGCTTTAAGTGAAATTTGGTTCTGCCGGTTAATTGGAGTCTTGTGCTGGAGAAAGTCAAAGAGGAGTAAAATATGCCTGCTTTAATATTTTTGACGTCTTTACTTCTTTTGCGACACAGGCTTGCACGGTAAACCACTTCAGCGTGTTTGTCATTTCGCCAAGGGTGATTATACTGTTTAAATAATAACTTTAAAAAACCCTTCATTTTAAAAGGCTTCCCGTATTAATATTTATGTAGGACTCACAACGTGAAGTTTAGAATGGGAATGCAATATGCCATTTATGACGTAGTAAAACCAGTAAAAAATATGTAGTTTTAACGTCCTTCACGCAATATGACCGGGGAAAAATCAACATACGGATTAATTAATTGATTAGTCTCTTGAAGGATAGCGATCAGTCGGGTTAATTTTCTAATCAAACCACAGAGCAGGGATGGGCAAACTACATGCAAATATATATCAAAATACAAATACAAAATACTTCGTCAAAAATGTATTTAATTACAAATCTAATTACAATTCCAGAAAAGCACTTAAGTACAAGATACAAATACAACCAAATGTATTTGGTCTCCTCCAAATACTTTTCCAAATACATTCCTCAAAATTTGCGTCAGCGACTTCAGGGCACCTGCAACGGGTTTCTGGGTATCCCATTTTAATTTTGCATCGCACACTCGGGAGTTAGTGTGCAAGGCTCTAGTAACGTAATAGAAATATAATCACCAAAAAATGTAATCAGCTTGGACGTAATAGGTAAAAAAAAAAAAAATACAGAGCTTCAAGCAGCTTTTTTTGTCGATTACATATTGGTATAGACCAACAAAGAACCGAGACGACGAAGACGCGCAGCACTGGCTAGAGAATTTTTTATTGTTGCAGCTCGCACCAGTTACGAAAATCTGGACGACCCGTGCACTTGGAATGTTCCAGGCAAAAATATGGATGGAAATCAGGCTAGAAAGCATCACGAGTTGACACAGGCACTTATTTAGCCAGTCTGCCTGTGAACGTCGATTTCGTCACTATTCTTGCCCTAAACTAGCACCGTAATCACAAAGCCACTAAACGCTTGTGCTTGATTGAGACACACTGCATTCGGTGCAGAGCGTAGTTTTCTTCCTGCTCTGGACAGTGACAATAAATTTGAGGGATGTAGTTTCGCCCACAAAATTGTATTTAATTACAATTGTATTTGAAATACCCACGTTTTAGTATTTAAATACACATGTCAAATACATTACCCAATTTGTAATTAAATACGAATGCAAAATACACAAAGTATTTGACATGTATATTCCAAATACTTGTATTTGAAATACTGCCCATCCCTGCCACAGACACACTCAACATTCAATGCTTTATGAAAGCCACGGTTTGCGCGAGATAACAAGAATACGTGGGACCAGTGATTGTATAAAAAACAACACACTAAGATTATGGAAGCTTCCGACTTAATAATAATCGCTTTGCTGCATTTCTACGCATGGTAAACGATAGAACACAACCTTTAGTAAAAAGAAGCGGCAAAAAAAAAAAAAACATTTCATAGAATGTCAAGCTCAGCCTGAAACGGGCTTGCGTCGTCGAGGTCCATGCTTCCGAGCGTGCGCCCGTAGCAGACGACGCACGGCAGTATCCCCGCTTTCGCGCGTTTCCAATTTCGGCCGCACGGTGGCAGCACGGTTCGATCTCGAGGCGAATTTTTTTCGTTCCAAACGGTGCACTCGAGCAAGCGCTCGTAGAGAAGCGAACAGAGAGCAGGATGCGTCATGGGATATCAGGCGCAAACAAAAAGAGAAAGAAAAGATTTCCCGCGTTCGTGGAGTAGCAAGGCAGGCGTGGTTATGAGCTTTGCCCTTGGTGGCGTTGTCAGCATTCTGGTGGTCCGCGCGCTACAACCGAGCCGTTCGAAGTATCCGTGGGGTGACGAGCGTGCGGCTGGCCCAAGGAGCACGTAGCTTCCGCAACACTGTCAGCTTAGGGCTGAACGGGGTGGGGAAAGCAACTTTTGTTCGAGTTTTGAGCGACGGGATAATCTTCTAGGGGGAGAATGGCTGTGTCCGGTTGCACGAACGAGGGTTCGAGAAAGAAAGGAGTCCTTCGATACTTTCCGTCTTCTTGGACCGTTTCGTGGAATGCGCGATTTATGAGTTCAGCAATAGACCTTTTTCGCAAGGGCGCCGCCATCTTGAATTGTCGTCACTTCCAGTATGGGCGAAAACATTGTTTTGCAGTCGCCACGCCAATAGAACGCATTTAGGACATAAACGTAACCGTCACGCATTCTCGCTTTGCCTCCCCTCTATTTTATTACTATTTGCAGTTTGAAACGTTCTGATATTTTTTCGTCGCCCATACCGGATATGCCTACTTGGCGTTCGGGGGCGAGAGTAAGCGAGGTAGCGGCAAATGCCCCTCAAAGGGAATCAGATATCCCTCCGCCACCTCCGCATCCAATAGCGTCCCACCATTTCCGTGACGTCGCGGCCAACGCGCGAGGAGGGTCTTGCCTTTCTGTACATATTTGCTTTATCTTTCTACTTTGACCTAGCATTGTAGAAGCCACGAGAGGGAGATTAGAGTTCTCCCCCACCGACGGAAACAAATACGACTTTCGGGGATTAGCTTCCCCCCCCGATGGATACAAAGGTCGCTTTCTCAAAAAGTGGGATCGGAGACAAGTGGGAATCCATTGAAGCGGAACAAGGAGCGTTTCCAGTGAACTCTTCTTTCGACTGCGGAGAGATTTGAAACGGGCGCATCACACTTGTGGGAGGAGCTTCTCCTACCTTCTTGACTTGTAACCGACTATAGGAGGAAAGCTAAGAAGCAAAATGTTGAAATGCCAAAGAGCGGCGCTGCTCCGAAGGAATCTGCTACGTCACGACTACGTAGCAGATTCCACAGCGTTGCTAGACTACCTCCCAAATAAGCTCCGCATGCATCCACCAGGTGCACATTGAACGGTCGTTTATTAAGCTTTAAAATTAGTTTTCTTGTGCCTTTCAACGGAAGACTGGTGTTTTTGAGGTTAGGGTGCAACATGCAACACATTCAAGCTAGAAAATGAGCGCTAGAATTTCGTTTCCCTACCCCTTTAAGGTGGTCGAATTCCAAATATTGCACCTCCTAAACCAACTAAAGCAAGCAATAAACACAAACTGATGGTGCACAAAAAAAAAAAAAAAGAAAACGAAAATATGACCGAGTCGCTCCAGGAGATTTTCATGCAACAATAGTGGAAATCCGTTGGAGCGACTTGATCATGTACTTGAAAAATGACAGAAAAATATCGTGAAATTCGTCCTACTGGAGTCTATACACATTTAATTATATGCCTTCAAAATGCCATGCCCCAAAGTGCTATAAAATAAAAAAAAATGTCACCAGTAGCTCTCTAAAATGTCCAACCACTTGTACATGTGCAGCTATTTATGCACACTACCCAACAACACCCATGTTGAAACCTAGACCATCCCAAATTTTTTTTGTGCAAACTGCATACGAGGCTGTATTTCCCTCCCCCACACAACCTAAAGCGCCCCAAACATTTATGAGATTTTTACAGGGTGAGTTCCGCATGAACCCCTGTTAATGTACATGGCAAGGCCCATTTATACCTTTTCCGCTTTTGAGATATTTCTGGGTCCCGGCATATGAGGTGAAAACTTATAGTAGTATTTAGGTTAACATTCCAGTTGGCACATACACAAGACGCACGTAAAGATATGAACACCACCATTGTTTATTAAAACAGCATAATTTTTCTGTTTATTACCGTTTGAAAAAAAAAATGTAGAATAAAAAATACACGGGGTTCAAAAATAATATTGAGCAGGCAATTTAGAGTGCATTAAAAGTTTATGGGCATCAAACGGATAGTTTTCTGTAAAAGTGTACATATGTAAAAAAAAATATGTAAGAAATATTTTTATATATTTTGGGATTCTGTAAACTATTTCACAAAATTATCACTCCTGTATAAACAAGTTACTAAAACGTAAAGAAAAGAAATCAGCCACCAGTTGATAGAAAAGTGGGGTGTTTTTGTGTATATATCACAAAACAAAAGTTTTATTAAGACAAGGTAATCAATATCATCCATCGCCTTGTTGCTATAGTACCTAGTCCAATTAAACTTGCACATTGTTGTGGTAAATCTTTAAAAAAAGTATAACATTTGGTGTACCTGTTTCTGAATGGTATCTTTTTTTATTCCAGTCTTCAACGCCCATCCAGCGAAAGAAATCAAAGTGTGTACAAAGCAATTTGTATTTTTAATCTCTACCTCATAGGCTCCCACAAAGCGTCTAGCAAGTCGGACCACCGGTGACACATCACCACAACCATCCTCCAGTACAGACCGCACATAATTCGACCGAAAGTTACCAAAAAGCAAGCGGCTGTGCATAAACAAGGAGTTACAGTCGGTGAAGAAGAAAATCCACGCAATGAAGACAATTCTGAAAAAGAAAAGAAAAAAAGTCTAGAATATCAAAGACCTCCAAACCCTGTTGGAGCGCCTGAGAGACCAGCATCATGTGGTCACAGACAAGTGCGAACTCATTTTGGAAGCATTCGGCGAGACACCTCAGGAGCTTCTCAAGGGATTTGAGAATAGTGCAACAAGGAAGTTGTCCGGAAGAACGTACAGCGAAAGGTCAAAAACGTTTGCTCCCACTTTGCACTAATACTCTCCAGAAGCACATGATCATGCAAACGGACTGCTCCCTCTCCCTTCCGTGAGTTCCCTCAGGTCCTGGTCGTAAAGGTGGTTGGGGGGTGGCTGTGTTCACCCGAGAAGCCCTGGGAGAGCTCCAGCGGCAGCACACAACTTCTTCCGCGCAAGAGAAGCTGTGCGTCATCATGCTGGATATGATGTCCGTGAAGAGAGACGTCAGCCTGTACGTCTTATCCGTAAAGCTTGTTGGCTACATCGATCTTAGAAAAGGACTGGGACTGTACGAGTCTGACGAGGTGCCAATGGGAACGGAGTATCTGGTCGTCATAGTGGTGGGCCTTACATCACCCTGGAAGATTCCCATCGGGTACTTCCTCACCAACGGAGCACCAGGGCAGCTCCCTAAGAACCTCCTCGAAGACGCCGTTGCAGCCGTTTAAGAAGGTGCCCTCATGTCAAAGCTGTGGTTTGCGATGGATTTGGAGCTAATGTTGCCATGGCAAAGCTGCTAGGGTGCCGGGTTTACGAAACCAACTATGAGAACCTCCAGCCAACATTCGAGCACCCGACCCGACCGGCAGAGGAGGTACATTTCATCTTTGACGCTTGCCACACCCTCAAGATTCTTGGAAACCTTCTAGGCTACAAGAAAGTGTTGAAGGTAGCAGCCTACGGGGTAAGCATATTGAAGGGTTTTGTATTTTTAGAATGCGCTAGTGCGATTCTCTCACAATAGGGCGGCCAATGGTAAAGGTGCGCTAAATATGATTTTAAGATTGTTTGTGCTTTGTGGTAACTCCTTTTACGGGCTCGAACCATCCAAGAAGCTCAATAATTATGCTCGTGCGACGCTTATTTACCTACTAAAGATATGATTTACAGTCGTGACATGCCCCTTCCTGAGCGGAACTTTCCGCTGAAGGATGGCGGCGCATAATCCAGCCGAGCGGACAGCGGGGTGACGGCACTGCTCGTCAGCCAACCGCATGCCGCCGTTCCGATGGCAGACGACCGTCTGCAACTCAGACGTTGCGTATTTCCGCACTCATTCCAGTTTCAGCACGTTCACCTTTATCTGTAAGTGTCTGGCAGGGACAGACTGCTGACCTTCTTACCCTATGTATGTCAGTTCGCTGTGAAAAATAAGATGTTTTTGTATGCAAGCTGGTCTTCCAGCGTTCTTGATTGTGTATTAATTTTTAGACAGCGAGATGTTGATCAGTCGTTCAAGTGATGCGAGATGTCTTTATATACTGTAGATGAGCAATTTTGCCGGTGCAGTACAACCGCTAGCCTGGGGTCGCTAACATGCGTCACGCAGTCGTGAAACACAGACGTGTGCCGGTGCGATCCTCGTCTTGATCTAAACGGGCAAGGGTTGGGAACTGAACCCATACTAGTTGCCATAGCATTTGTCGTCACTGCCGAGCTAACACTAACAGCAGGCCTCCGTAGTAATGAGGAGTTTGCGTTCTACACCCTCAGGACAGTCGCCCTCGGCAGTATCTAAGGGAGGAGGGAGGGGGTGGGGGGTAGCTTGAAGCCTGTAAGCAGCTGCAAACAGGATCCACCAATGTGGCATCTAGTGACGTGAAGGGAATACCACTTTTACACCTCCATTGCAACAATTATTAGCTGATGGCTGATGGCACATGAATTTATGAAAAAAGTTCCAGATTTCAGGGTGGTACTGACGTGTCAAAACTGGTAGCATTACTGCAAAAAAAAATAATACTCTTAACTTTCGGAGTGCTTGATCTAGATTTCGTTACTGCAGTTATGACCTTAAAGGGCCCCTGAAAAGAAAAAAAAAAAAGAAGGTTATTTAAACAGTTTGGTTGAGACACGCCTGTCAAAAAAAATTAATTTTACGCGTAAATTTTTTTTTTAGAGCAATATTGACCGCGACAGATTTATTTGAAATTCTGTGCACAAAGTCCATGACGCCACGGGTCATTCCGGAATGACCATCTCGGTCGTGAAGGCGACGCCGATCCACCTCTCCTCCACGCGCCAAAAATGCCGAGAGAGAAAAATAGTGGAAAGGAGGTGACTTCCGACTAAATCGCGTCGCGCGCCGTCAATATTGTTTTAAAATTATTTTTTTTTGCTTAAAATTAATTTTTTGACGTACGTGTCCCAACCAGACTGTTAAATTTTTTTTCTCTTGTCGGGGGCCTTTTAAGAGTGCATGTGTGCATATACAAAATGTCAAAAAAAAAAATTACACAATTTTTTACCGCAAAAACGCAAAAAAAAAAAAAAAAAAAAAAAAAAAAAAAAACTAGGCATCGCCGAACGTTTATTTTCCGCCCATAGTAGCGCTAGAGGTCACAACCAGATGCCAAAGTTTCGGCCCGAACGGACAAGTTATTCAAAAATGATAAGTGATTTTCTGAAAATTTCAGGGGGGAAATGGCGGCCGACGGAGTTTTCGAATACATAGGGCTCTGTGGGCACCAGAAACCGAAAACGGGCAAAAATGACTAAACTTGAGGAAGAAAACGAGAACGTCCCTTCTCGTTTTCTTCCTCAAGTTTAATTATCCATACCAACCCTCTCGTTCTGTCCTCACGGGCAAAAATGGACTCCGCTTTCCCATTGAAATTTTCAGAAAATCACCTTTAACTTTTGAATAAGGTATCGCATCGGACTAAAACTTTGGTATCTGGTTGTGACCTCAAGTGCTACCTTTGGGCGGCGAATGAGCGTTCGGCGATGCCTAGTTTATTTTTGCAATAAAGAAAAGAACAAAAAGAACGCTGTAAATTTTTTTTCTGTGACACCCTATAGATATTTGTAATATATATGTTCGTTTAGACAAATTTTCAAACATTACCTGTTCCTGTTGGAAACTTCTATATGTGTGTGCAGTAATTATATCCGTTGTTGAGAACAATAAAAAGTGTCGAAACCTCTAACAGTATTGTGTGCCTACCATCTCGCTAGTAAACGCATGCTACATATACATCGATCACAGAAAACGAGCGTGAACAGCATGTGTGCAGAGAATAGTAAAACACCATTCGTTTCACTAATGTAGCATGTACGAAAAAGGTATGGGGTGTCAACTTTCAGTGTAGCTCAGCGCTACACTGATGGCAGCAAATATACATGTGCCACCCAGTCGATAACTTACCTCAGCTTCGTTTGGATCTGTTGCACCTCCACGTTGTTTTCGTTGCTTTTATGCCTTTCAGGCCTTTCACGGGGTCCAGTTGGTCTCATCTTGGCCGTGAATTGAATTTCTCTTGTGCCAGATTTTCATAAATCCTACAGATCATACGCGTCAGGATATCCCTTAAGCACCTGAAATAACAAGACATAAATTATGTCTTGTTTTTATTTCGCAGAGCACTGGGCATTGTAAAAAAAATGTTGGCGTATTCGTTTTTTCAGCATTTCTTTATATTTCCAGTTTGAGTCTCCACTAATCCCGCCAGAGTCACTTTCAGTTTTGTTTCCGTCATCTGAGTACTATTACAGCTTGAATAAACCTTACGCACTTTTTAATTGTTTTTTTTTGCTTGAATTTATAGCTTGTATTGACATATCATCGAGTACAATTTAGACCTGCGACTCAATTTGTGCTAAATTATATATAGCTCATTAATAAAAAAACACACTAACTAATTAAATTGCACTTTTATAATGTGAATACACCTACATAGCACACGATGCAAATAATGAAACTGCGCTGATTTTTATTATTCTCCGGCGAAGAAAAAATATCAAGTACGTTTTTCTATAGGAATACAGAAGAAGACTGTAAAAGTAGACTGGTTGCTGTCTGCTTCAATTTGTGACCTGAAGTCTCGCAGACAGAAGTGCCAAAACCAATCTCTAGCGTGTATTGTAATAACTCTATTCCTGTGTGTTTTGATAGACTGGAGTGTGGTTTACGACGAATTCTGGGCGCTTGCCCAGAACAGGTGTGGGCACTGTGCGTGCGCAAGATTCGTGTGAAGCGTCTGCGCACCTCCCTTGCCGAAGAAGTACCACCTTAGCGGTGTAACGTCGGGCTGCGTGCTGGCGTATGGGAGTTATGCACCCGTGATATACATATATATACCCCTAGACACGAATACTGAAAAGTCTCGAAATCTTATAGTGCTTGTGTCGTTTTTGCCTGCAGTCTCGGGGATTACGTTATGTTCAACTTAAACCAGCTCGTTTCCGCCCTTACTTTCACGCCACGGTATTCACTCAGCTTGAAGCAATGCATCACGAGAAGAAGCATTGCCATTCGACCACCATCGGTATAGTCAAAACAGCCATTCGCGGCAGGTGTTGTTTAGGGTTAGCTGCGTGGTGGGGAACTCGAAAAGAAGTCAATTACGCGTAAAACTTCCAGAAATATACATTAATTTTTTACCGAACGAATGCTGAAGAAAAAAACTATAAAACGATCGGCCGGTTGTCGTGTCGAGAGGCTTTTGCGAAGCCGCCGAGTGACCTGGACATCGACAAGGAAGTACCAGACTTGTACGTAATTCGTTACAAGTAACGAAATTACTTGTAATTCCTTACATTTCTCAGTAATTCTGTAACGGAATAATTAAAATTTTTCTAGAGTAATTTTAAAGTAATTCCCTTACATTTTTGATGTAACGGATTCCAAGTAATCCGTTACAATTTTTTGTCAGAACCAACCCCCCCCCCCCCCCCCCGGGCACCCTATCTAAATAAAGTTATTTTGTTATTTTTTTTCATTTTTTTTAAAGTCGAGCGCAGTGACACTGTCATGCGAATCGACCAGCGCAAAGGGAGGCTTGGCTAGGGTGCCTCAATGACCGCAAAGCGCACATGAAGGCACCCTAGGCTTGGCACTCTTCAATCCCACAAAGCCTTTTTTTTTGCAACACCAAGCCCCTGAATCTATCTTTTTTTTAGACCCTAACATGAATGTCAAAAATCCAAATAAACAATATTACAAAAAAAAAAAAAAAAATAGAGGCCCCCTTACCATTTTTTTTTTGTAAAATTGTCATTTCTGTTTTTTTTTTGTAAAAAGTTATTTCTGCTTTTTTTTTAAAGTCCCTTTGTTTTTTTCTTGGCGATCGAAGACAGAGAGAGGTGGACACCAAGTGATTGTGAGCCTCTCCGAGAAGCTCGAGGCGGTAAGTGCGCAGAAAAGAATTAACAATGTCCTTCTCGGTTATAGTGACTACGACCATTTTCATAATGTCACAACAGGTGACAACTCTCCGTCTACCCTACCCTTTTTGTGAGTCAGCTTTTTGCGAGCACTTAGAAAATGGTAATATTCTTCCGTTCTTCTTCTTCCTGTTGTGCCCCAGCAGGACGCATCTCATCTCAAGCAGATATTTTTACAAATAAAACATAATGGTGGCTGACGTAGACTTGATATTCTGGGCTTGAGGAGAGAGTGAAATTCGTCAGTGGGGCCATAGCGCGGCTTACTTAGTACTCTACACTT